ATGCCCATGGCTATGGGGGGGATGCCCGGGGCTGTCAGGGCGCTGCCCGGGTCCCTGGCCGGGACAGGGCCCGCTCGGGCCGGCCCAGGAGCCCTGTGCACGGTACCTTGTCCAGGAGCCCGTTCCGGCCGCTTTTGGCCGCCATCTTCTCRCCGCCTCCGCCCCGCCCCGCCCGCGACACCTGGGCGCCTCTGATTGGCCGCGCGGGAGGAAGTCCCGCCCCGTCCTGACCGCGCGGCACGCTGGGAAATGTAGTCCGCTGCGCCCGCCATGGCCGTGACGTGGAGAGTGTTTGTATCATGGAAWAATCACAGGATTTGGGCTGGGAGAGACCTTAAAACCCACCCAATCCTCCCCCTGCCATGGACAGGGCCATCTCCCACTAGAGCAGGCTGCTCCGCGCCCCATCCAACCCCAACAGGGCTGTCCAGGCCTGGCACAGCTGCCCAGGGCAGTGGTGCAGTGCCCATCCCCGGAGGGACTCAAAGCCCTGCGGATGTGGCACTTGGGGACATGGGCCAGTGGTGACCTTTGCAGTGCTGGGGTCACTCAATGACCTTGGAGATGTTTGCCATCCCTAGCAGTTCCAGGGTCCCATGATCTCCAGCAGGACAGAGCAGCCCCAATGTCCGGCTTTGGCGTGGTTTCCATGCGGGCAGGAGAGGCAGGTGCTGCTCGCCCATCGTGTCTGGATCCCTGGCAKCCGCACAGGACACACTCAAGCTGTCCTTTGTCCACGTCCAGCTCCGCTGGCACCTCCGTGTGGCCGGGAATGCTGCCAGAAGCTGCTCAAGGACTCGTGCCTGAACCTCTCCCGCTCCCTCTGCTCTCACAAACTCCGAGCACAATGTGTGGTTTCCTCTGGGACAGGATTGATCTCAGGATTGATCTCAGGTTTTTCAGGCAAATTCCAGCTTGGAAGCACCGAAAGAGCCACAATGCTGCAAGGACAGCACATGGAAACCATGGCTGCTCGCTGCCAGGCTCTGCAGCTCCTGGAAAATAGGGAGTGTGCTCACCCAACCCTGCCCCAAATCTGTCTGGAATCAGAGGGGCTGACAAGTGATGGGAGCAGTGGGAGATCCTCGCTGCCCACTGCCTGCTTCCCTACATCGAAAAGGTGTCTTTGTGCTCACTTCCCCTCTTTTCCCTGCCAAACCCCAAAATGCTGTCCAGCCCTGGCACAGCTGCCCACGGCAGCGCTGAGTCCCTGTCCCTGCAGGGA